CTTCGGCGTGGCCGCGTCTACCAGCATCGGGTGGCCCTCGTTCACCGGCGTCCTCTCCGGGTCGTCGAATATCTCCTGCGACACGGACGTGCAACCGAGCGCCCCCTCGAATCGTCGATACGTGGCCACGCTGCTCTGCAGGTCCTCGGACGAGACCGACTGCCTCTCCACGTCGGAATCTTCCGTCGTGTACTCGCCGCTCGCATCGCAGCTATCCAACGGCTGTAATTCGCGTTCATTGCCATTGTTACGAAACGTTATAATCGCCCCCTCCTCCACATCTCGTTACACGAATGGCGCGCGCGTTCGTTGCGAATAATTACGCTTCGTGCGTAACAGAAGCAGAGGAAGGTGTTGCACCCGATTCGATCGGAGCAGAAATTGGCCGATTTTAGAAAAGATTTTAGAAAAGTCTAGGGAGAGAAAATCGATGGACGGTCTTACCTGCAACGTGGATCGTCCCTCGTGGCCCCGCACGTTGTTCAATTTCAACCATTCCTTGATCCTCGCGTACTTGGCCCTGTGATTATTCGTGATACTGCTACCCTTGTCGTCGAGAATGAGCTGAGAGAAGGTCCTCGGGGCTCCGTTGCGCCTCTCCTCCCCGACCAACTTCTCCACCTCCTTGATAAGCCTCTGTATCCTCGTCTTGTCGTTTCTCGTTTCGTCGTCGCTGTCCTTCTCCCGTTGGGAGGAGGCGTCGGTTTCGTTTGAAGTCTCGTCGACACCCTCCGAGACGTCTTTGCGCGTCTCTTTGACAGGCTTCATTTCGCTCGTTTTCGCGATATCCACGGCTGGCCGGGGTTCGGGGCTCTCGCCTTCGCCGAAGTCGAGACGCACCAACACGTTCGTTTTACGTTGCTCGCTCGTTACGTTGTTGTTGGCGCGCGACGACGTGTACGTCCACTCCTCCTCGGACGAGTCCTCGACCACGATCCCCGCCTCTTCGTTCTGCTCGGAATCGGTGTCCAGGTGGCAGAAGTAAAAGGTCGCGTAGTTCTTCGATTTTCTGTCCGATCTGGTAAACGAAACGGCTCGATCAAATTCTGGATCGGAGAAGAGCTAGAAAAAGGAGGCTATCCAAGTGGGAACAGCAAAAGTGTTTTTTTTTTGGAATAAACGTAGGAGAAATTAGGAAGGAAATAATTGTTTCTTCGTGAGATGAAAATTAAAATTTCACCTGAAAAGGTTTCATTATACCGATATAAATATTACCATCTGCAACTTAAAAAATTCAGATATCGAGCAGACGATAGAATGATAAGTTGATCGAACGAGATCCGAATGCGTACTATTTAAACTATTCAAAAGGTGGATATATTGTCCAAACAAAGTCGGGCACGTGATAAAATAGCGATAAGGCGGGTCTTACGTGTTAAAAGATGCGACCTCTTCAGTCGTTCTTCGACGTTTAACCGGCTCGTTAGCGGGTAAATTGCCGTTCGACTGTTCCACGTTCCCGGATTGACCGTCGATCTGATCGCAACTCTCCACGATGGCCGTCGAATTTGTCAACGGGACAGTGTCCGGTATAGGTGGCATATCGTATTCCTCGTCCTCTGTAACCGCGTCCTCCTCGATGTCACCCTCTTCGGCCTGGTCCACCGACGCGCACGAGATTCGATTGATTTCCTGGGGATTCTCCACTCCCTCTCCGGACTTTATGTCCATCACACACAGCTGGCACAGTTCATCCTGCAATCGCGAACAATTCATTCCCCCTCCTGATCGTTTTCAATTCGTCTCTCTCTCTACGGAGAATGAGAAACGTTTCTTTTTTTTTCTTTCGAAACGGGGAGAGGAAATAGTTGAAATGGAAATAGAAACTCGTGGTTGTTTACGCGACGAGTGCGTGCGTGCGTTTCGAATGCGGCATCATCGAGTACCTCGCGCTCCCATCACTGCTCCGCGACTGATCGTGCGGTTGGCGCACAGATTATCACGATTATTTTCCACAAGATAAGAAGTTAATTATCGATCGAGCCGCTAATTGACTACTACGCGTAAAATCGTCGCGTAGCAACGAATACATGCGTTCCTCTCCATCGATCGCGGAAATACGTTCGAACTATGCGAGCAGCAGGTGTCAAATTTTCTCTCGAAATATATATCACGTATAATAATAAAAAGAAATGTGTTAGCGAGTTTAGAAACGTGGCTCTTTCTTTCCACGCTCAAGTATGCGAACGCTATTCCGCTAGTTATTATTTGTTGCTCGATAAAACGGATTCTTTCTCGTGCCTCGTAAAATCGGCCGTGATGCAACCGTGAAAATTTCACGCTTCGAGGTGTTTTACCTCGATCGATTCGTTCGTAACGCGCTTTCGTTCGCTTCGATTTTGTTCGCGCTCGGCAAAATGAAGAAAAGGCGGTTTCGATCGGTCTAGGTGAACAAGAAGTAAACGTTATCATTCGCTATTGAGCACATTCTTTTCGAATCCAGATATAGAATTATTTTTACGTTCACGATGAATCGAATCTGCCTTGGATAGATCCGATTAGATATATCTTATTATAGTTATCGCGAGATATCGATAAAAATACGATTTTTTTCTTTTCTTTTAAATGGTAATTAAAACAGGATCTAATTGATCGTTGGAGATCGAGTCTCGTTCAGACGACCGAGAAAAATGAAGATAAAATACGTGAGTGGGTTTTGGTATTCACGTATTCGCTCGAGACCAGGCTCGAGAAGGGTCGACACAATGCAAGCACGTTCCTCCGATGTCACGTACGCGTAATTACGCGTCAATTTCAATTTTTATTTTATTTCGCCTGGTGAATATTTCAAAAGGTAAAAGGCTCCTCGTGCACTTTCTCCCGTCGAGTTCTCATTCCGTTCGAGCAGAGCAACGCGCTTCCAACGAGAAAAATTTTCGAGCTTACTCCGAACAAAAAAAAAAAAAAAAGAAAGAAGAAAGAAGAAAGAGAAACTGGAATAAAAAAAATATTCTTTCGCGTATTCTACGAAACGTCTTCGCGTATACTTTCATCCGCTCGTTCAAAGATTTCAATAATAATGGAAGTCTCGTGTCAAGAGATTCTGTCAATCAAAAGTCCCAGTTAAAAAGAGATACGAATGAATTCGAATCGAAAGTTTAATTGATGAAAACGAAAGAAGAAAAAAAAAACTCGTCGTAAATCAATTTCATTCAACAAGTTAACAACAAAGAGATGGTATGAAAGGAAAGATGTAGCCAGTAAACGAATAAAAAAAATTAGTTTCGAATGAGAAATGATCGATAATAAAAAAAAAAAAAGAATATTGAAATTTTTCAATAGATTATTCGATTATAGTTAATTCGAAATCGAACGAGAAGAAAGACAATCATAGAAGATAATCGCTTCTTCGTCGTAAAAATTTCAATAAATCTGAAAAGAATAAACTTTCGACAAAGAGCAACGTGGATCCACTCTCGAGGGATTAATTCAACATCTTATAAATCAATTTCACCTACGAACAAAGAGATGAAACGAAATGAACGTCGTGGAACCGCGCGCGTTCCGCGCCACGCACGCATAATAATCACGTTGTTGTTGTTGTTGTTGTTGTTGCCTTTGGTGTCGTTATATATACATCGTGAACGATAGATCATTCACACTGGTAACGCACGTGTACGCTCTTGATGCACTGTTGATGCTATCGACGATACGACGACGAGGGAACAACCTCGTTTTCATCCAATTCGATTTCACGCCGCAACTTTCCCCTTAACCCTTTCGAGACGAATTTTTTCCTCTTAATTCGATCGAAAATTAAATTCGACTCGAGAATTTCACTTTTTCCACGATTATCGAGTAAGCGACGACGATCGTTTTCGTTTATTCGGTATACAACAATGGCAAATAACAATGTTGGAATGAAAATTAAAAAAAAAAAATGATTTGAACGGACAAAGAGTGCGGGAATATTGAAAGGTGAACGCATGGTATCGAGGGATCACTTTTGTTCTCTCTGGAAAGAGACAATGGACGTTAATAACGATCATCTGCACGAGATGATGGATAGATCGTTTGGAGGGACGTTTTATAGTTAGTTTCGATATATAGAACGAATTTTCAAGCATTTAGAAAGTGACTTGGTAAAATAACGATTCGTGGAAAACGAAAGTTCGATACCGTTGCATCTTTCCAGACAATTAGGATTATTATTTAATTTTCTCTCTTGATTTCGAAATATTATTCTCGAAAGAGAATAGAATCGAGGAAAAATTGATGAAAGTTACCATTTTCTCTTTTATTTTCGAAACGATGATAAATAATATACGATAATTTTGAAATTATTCACCATGTTTGAAAGAGTCGAAGTACGTCGAAGAAGATAAAAGTATTTAGCGAGAAAACTCTGACTCATAGAGTTATAAAGATCGATGAAACGTGCTCTCGATTTCGTTCGATTCGCCGATATAACGCATGCACGAGGAATGCAAAACGGTGGTCGAAACGAAACAATGGCCGTTGGTTAATAAGAATCAAGTTCACTCGCGCAGTCAGGTGTCGTCCATCCTCGAATAACCGCAAACAGTCTTCCAAACTGACTCGATATTCTTACGAAACCACGTCGAAAAAGGAATTTACCCAAAATCGATATTTCAACTTACTTAACGCGTTATCGATTACTCCTTTCGATAAATCAAATTCACTCTACCGAATCACTCTCGAGAAACACTCTGAGAGAGAGGGAAAAAAAGAAACAAAGAAGAAAAATTATTCCCAATGCACGTATTAAATTAAT